AAATTCGTCACTTCAAAATGCTTTCTTATGACAATATCATTATGTGTCACTTTAACTCTCAAACTTTGTCACTAATTTATACAATACGTGATGATAAAAACAAATTTGTCACCTAAGTTTTTTGCGCCAAATTTTGACGGCAAAATTTTAGAGGGAAATGTTTTGATGACACATTTAAAACAATTAATGACGATATAAGTTGTGTCACGTTATTTTATTTATGATGACAAAATCATATTTTGTAACTAATTGTTATATTAAATAATGACAACATTATTTTGTCATTTAAGTCATCTTTTGGTGATGATTAATGTAAATGTGTCATAATTATACTTCTAGCAAAAAATCATGATTAAAGTTTGACCAAAATCTATTAATCTAAAATTAATATTAATGAATAAGGACATTGAGATATTGTAATTGAGGTCAGACGACGGAAATGAAGACAGTCGAGCTTTGAGCGTAATTGAGGTAGAGCAAAGTGAAGAGCAAAGTGAAGAGCACAGACGAATAACAAGTATGGCGAAGCGAAAGAAGAGGTCAGACGACGGAAATGAAGACAAACAATTAACCGATAATGAAGTTTCAGACAGTGATTTTGAGACGAAGGAGAAGAAGGAAACAACCAATGAAAAACAAACGAAGAAGGAGCAAGACAAAGAAGAGGTTCTTCCATCTGGCAAGGTATTTTCTGTACTTACTCTTTTGTCTAATTTTTATTTTTTTGAGAAATTGAAATAATGACTACAATAGAAACCGAATATGCAATTTCGTTTACTTTATGATGTTTGAATTGTAATTACTGACTTCAAATTACTATCAGAAATTCATTACTGACTTGCAATAAGAATGACGTTTTCATGTATTCTTCATTGTGATTTCATACTCTCAGTCTATTTTGTATGTTTGCAACGGAATTATTGACTTGAAATTAAAATCACAATGCATTATTAACTTGGATTTGATTTTGGTTTTCATTGTCATTGTCATATTTTATACTGTCATACAATTTAGTATGTTTGAGATGGAATTATTGACTTCAAATTAAAATAAGAAATGCATTACTGAATTGGAATTTGAATGTGCTTTTCATATATTATTCATTGACATCTTTATACTCTCAGTCAGTTTAATCAGAATGCTTTATGGACTGGAGTTTGGTTGTGGTTTTGAGTAGTGTTCATTGTCATGTTTATACTCTCGATTAGTTTAATAGGTTTGAGATGGAATTATTGACTTGAAATTAGAATCAGATTGCATTACTAACTTGGAATTTGTTTGTGGTTTTCATATTGTGTTCATTGTCATGTTTATACTCTCAGTCAGTTTAAGAGGTTTGAGACGGAATGATTGAATTGAAATTACAATCAGATTGCATTACTGACTTGGAATTTGATTGTGGTTTTCATATATCATTCATTATCATCTTTATATTCATTATCATATATTACAAACACTGTATCTTATTTATTATTGAATTTGTGTATATATCAGGTCATTGTAAGATCATGTACAAGAGGACTGCTTGACAATAAAAAAGAATTAAAGGTTAACTGTTTCGCAAATGTGCACAATGGCATGGAAAAAATAAATAAATTGCTAAATCAGGACCAACTTCAGACATTCAGAAACACAACATTTGGAAAAATGATTGACATTGGAAATGTGCAATGGATGACCGGTCAGCTGCTCATTCTAATTGTAGAAAATCATGTGAAAAAGCTGGACGGTAAAGTGTATAGAGACAGGTTCATTTTCAACATTGGTGACAGATTGGTCTACTTCTACAAAAGAGAGTTTGCTTTAATAACTGGATTCAAGATGGGAGGCGAAAAACCTGTGATTTCTACAGAGACAAAAGGTGACATATGGAAAAGGTTTTTTAACTCAAGGGATAATGTATCAAGGAAAGACATTAAGAGAGCTTTTGAAGAGTTTGATAATATATTGGTGGATAAACAACCTTTAGATAAGGTAAAGTTGGCGGTTCTGAATATAATTTCTAACTTCTTAATTGGGAACCAGCCAAGTGTGAAATGTCCTGAGAAGTACATAAATATGGTAGATAATCTGGATTTGGTGAATGAATATCCATGGGGAGATGAAATCTGGGAAGATTTGCTTGAAAAGGTACCTAAGTGGAGTCACAACATTACAAACTCAAAGAATGATAGGTATGGATTTCCAGGATTTAGCTTTGCATTGCAAATATGGGCGTTTGAGAGTTTCCCAGCGCTTAGGAGGACAAATGTGTGCAGCATTGAAGAAGACAGAAAAGGAATGTGGCCAAGATTTCTGAAATGGTCAATTCCTAAAAAAACTTGTTGTGCAACACTTGCTGACAACATATTTGACAACAAACAGGTATTTGTTTTTAAATTAATCCGCTGCTACATAATTATATCAATTTATTGACTCAGAATTTTTTATTGTCTAATTTACGCTATAACATTTATATAAAAATTCTTTCATGCAGTTTGAATTTAAAAAAATGTGCCCAACAGAGGAGGAGCTTCAAAATCCCATGATAAAGGCATTTTATGCAGACAAAATGCCTAACCCTGTGATGAAAAAGAGTCGTCTCTCTTTGGTAGGAAAGAGGAAAGAGAATCCTGTCAAGGCAGATGAAACAGAAATTACAAAAGATGGGAGGACTGATGAAGCAAAGCATGTGCAATTTGAAGCTGAAAGAAATCAAGTCATCAGTGATCAAGGACATGAAGACATGCAGCACCAAAACTCTGAGCATGCAGGTCACAGTGGAATCAACAACTTAAACCGCATGTTTAAGAGAAGAAAGGGGGTTGGAAATGAACTTAGAGAAAGCACCATACTACGTAACTTAATGGCTGCGGTGGTGCTCCAATCAAAGAAGACACAGAAGCTTGAGAAAAGATTGGAAAAGCTTGAGGATGGAATGAAGAAGCTTCTAAATGGGCAAAGGGAGCAATCTGAAATGTTGAGATCACTTCTTAGGAAGATTGATGAATCTGAAGAAGATGACAGCGACAAAAGGGGGCTGGACTTAGACAATGATCTTCATGCGGAGGAAGAAAACAAAATGGGAAAGAAGCTGTCTCCTAAAAATAAAGCTAATGATTATTCTATTGCTGTATGTGCTACGCCAAGTTTTGATCTCCATCTTGATGACACACAGAAGGACATGAAAGAAACTGAGGGAGTAAGAGAAGAGGATGAAGAACAACAAGCTGGTAGTGATGGTTCCAGTCAACTTGATAAACAGATTGATACTAATGATGCAGAGCCCATCTGTGCTCAAAATCAAGACGTTTTGATTGGTGAAGAAGCTGAGGCGCCAACTCAAACAAGCATCAACAGTGAGAAGCTACAAATGCATGTCAATACAGTCCTTTCGGATGTCATTAAAGATCTGAAGAAAACAGAGGAGATAATAGAAGAAGAGGTAATGTCTTAAGTGTAGATGGTCTTGTACTGATTGTTACTTTAATGTCTACTTAATGACTACATTTAAGCAATTATTGTCTACTTTTTAATAGAAATATTCTGATTGCAGGAAGAGCAGATGGTGGTAGATAGACAGAATGAGAGTGGTAATGATCAGTTCCAAATAAAGGATGTTCTCATAGATGACAAAAAGGTATGAATTTATTTATAGGCATATTACTATGGAAAAACAGAAACAAGAAGAAAAAAATGTGATTAAGCCTAAACGAATTCTAATAATGATGTTTTACACCAGTTACTTATACAGGTACAAGAGAAAACAAGAGTCCTTGAAGAGGAGGGAGATGAGCTGACACGACCAAGGAGAAATGTTAGAAGTCCTGAAAGATACACACCCAATCCAACAACTGAAATGAAGAAGAAAAAAATGCAGAAGGCAATGAAGAAAAGAGAAAAAGCAGAGAGTGACACATGTCTAGTACAAGGACCATTTACAGAAGATCCAAAAGAGAAGCCTTGTATGGAGGATGTGCACAAAGTGAAGATTTATTTTAGGGGTGGGCAAACGGGTCTTGGAACCGCGGTCCGGTCCGGGTAATGGCGGTTCGGGTCCAAAACGGACCGGTTCCATTTTTTGTTGCCATAAAACGGTCCGGGTAGGGTCGGGTAATTTTTTTAAAGAACCGCACCGGTTCCAAAATTAAAAAATAACGGGTACCCGGCCCGGCCCGTTATATATATTGTATATTAATTTATTAATAGTTTTGTGATAATCAGTTTTGAAATAGTTTTGTTTCCTTTGCTAGAAGTATGATTTTAAATTGAGTTACAATAACATCCTTTTGTTTTCAAATTATTGATTAAATTTTTCATAAATATCTTATTACTTTTTATTGTTATTGAGTTATTCCTTTCTACGGAGTTTAATTATTTGTTAAAAATGATTTTGTTATATTTTTTTATAATATTGTTCTTAAAATATATAAATTGTGTTTACCACCCACCATGTGTGTGTCAACTTTGGCTAATACTAGAAATTTAATTAAAAAAAGCAATCACTTATATTGGCTATGTTGCATATTTTTGGAATTTCTTTAGACAACATGTTTAAATACAAATGTTAGAAAATATGTATTTTGGCTATGTTGCATATTTTTAGAATTTCTTTAATTGTTTGAAACTTATATACATGAAATTATGGAGTATTGGACTTGTCGTTTGTGTTACGTGTGCACCACTATGTTTTTGTTTTGAAACTTGCTATTGTCCTATATTATTGATTATTAATTTTTGGAACTTCGTGAGTTTTTACTAATTTTAAGACATGAGAATAGAAACCGTAAAACCCGGACCGGACCGACCCGTTTCAAACGGGCCGGGTAAGGTCCGGTTCCTATTTTGAAAATTGCAATACTCGGACCGGACCGAACCGTACACTGGAACCGACGGTTCCATTTTATTTTGCATTACCCGCCCCGACCCGCCCCGTGCCCAGCCCTAATTTATTTAGCAGAGGGGCTGCTAAAGAAGCACTCCAGTAATGTCCAAAAGAAGTACAAAAAGAAGGACGAAGAGCTAGTGTCATGCCCATTCGGATTGCAGCTGGACAACTTCATTATAAGATCAAAAACATGGATTTATGACCTCTACACCAATCCCAATTGGTTGACCGATACAGTAAGTCCAAATTATATACATGCATATAAATATATTGTCTGAAAACACTACAAAACAATCGAAACCAATTTTATATTTTGTATTTCAGCACATGGGAGTAGCATTTTTCTACCTAGGCGTGAAGAGGAAGCAATTTAATCTGAAGCAGAAGTTTGCCACAGCAGATCCTTTATTAATTGGCCTGATAAAGACGAAAGCCGAACTGTTGGAAAATGAAAACACAACACTGACAGAGGCGGCATACAATGGCACAATCATGAATAACATCTTGGGTACTAGCCAAGTAAACATGATGCCATGGGCAGATGCTGATTATGTATACATACCACTTAATACAGCAATGCATTGGGTTCTATTGGTTTTAGAAATCAATGAAAAGCGTATCCGGGTTTACGACTCAATGAAAAGAAGAGGGGATACAGTGTCTAGCATAAGGTCATATACCAAATGCTTAGAGACTTTCTTGCCGAAGGTCATGGAGAGATTAGGAGTGTACGACAAACGTCAACAAGCAGCAATTGGAAAGGGAAAATTAAAGATTGAAATGGTGCGCAACTGTCCACAGCAAGAAGATGGGTATGTACAGTGTATAAATATCATATATAGCTATATATACATTAGCATAAAAATATTTATTTATGTTGATCTTGCAGGGGGAACTGCGGGATGTTTGTGATCAAGTTTGCTGAGTTCTTAATGCTTGATCGAGAGGTTACTGAGGTTTCAAATGAGGACATGGAGATGTATCGAGAAAAGATGACAACGGAACTACTTTTGTATGCATCAACAAAAAAGTAGATTTAGTAAATGGTTCTTGATATATGTATCGTAAACAAAGCACATTTATGCTCTTTAATATGTACTTTAATGCATCTAATTCATATTTGGATGTATTTAGTTAAACTGCATTTATGCAAGCAATCATATTATAAAAGATGCATATTAATGTCTATTTTATGTCACTGTGCAGACACTAAATTACGTTTAATGCCTTGTATTTTTGTTTCACATGTCCAAATCCAAATACGTAGATTTAGGAATTAATACCATGTCTTTTATAGTCAAATTGTTTAAAGAGGGAGAATGTGAGCTCAGAAATCATCCGAAGAAGGCAAAATGTGAGCCTAACCTCGACCCCCCCCCCCCCCCCCCCCCCCCCCGAGATTGGAAAACATCAACCTCAGATTTCAACTAAACTTGACGAACACTGAGCCAGACCTCGAGGTCGCTAAGACCCCCGAGCTCGGTCAAACATCGAGGCCGGTCGAAACTTTGACCCTTGTGGTTTGTGTGAGGTCAAACCAAGTAGGCGAAAATTTTAAACACAAAAGTCAATATTGTATATTCAAAGTGGGTTCTCACCTTAAGAGCCCGAGCTTTGCCGAGCCCGGGGTCAGTATTCTATTAAACTTTGTTTAAGATTTCAATTTCGAGAGAAAGACTTGTGTCCTCTCCCACCTCTGTAGACAGTAATTATATTAATTGAGTCAATATTTAGACATTAAATAGACAATAAAGGCACAGAGTCTGTAAAGTAGTAACAATGCCAGATTAAAAAAAGTGACAAAGGTAATATATATTGGTAAAAACTTCAATAATAAGCCATTCCATTGAATATACATTACATAGAATAGCATAAATGACATTAAATGTCATAAAACAGAATGACATTAATCTTTGTTAAGTACAAAAGTTCATATAAGAAACAATGTTCAACTGGGAATAGACATATTAAGCTCTTGAAACAGATATAGGATTTGTGCAAGATTTTTTGTTGTGGCCACCTTTCTTGCACCGAGAACAACGTTGACGTGATGGAAATTCACCAGTTGAGGGTATGCGCTTCTTTTTGGGTCTACCAGGAGGACGTGTCAAACATGTAGGTGGTTTGCACACAACTGATTTCACATGATCTGGAATCTCCCAATCAAACCAAGAACCAATAGGGTGCATCTCTCCACTATATGTGCTAAGCCATGCATGTGTGAAATAATAGTTAGAGATGTAGTCATAACATGATAAACCTCGACGGTGACCAACTGCAGCAACCCCGTGAACACATATAAAATGCTCCAGTTGAAAAACACGACACGAACATGTCTTTTCTTTCAAATTAACAATAAAGATTCTGGAGGTTTTGTCCACAACTTCGAACTCATACGCACTGGCAGGCTTCACCTAAACATGAATAAGAAAGAAGGAATACATTAAATAAAAGCCTATTCTTATAAAAAAATTAAACAACAATAAAAAGGATAAATACGTAATTAATTTACCAGCATCATAGATGACTGAGCATGAAAAGAACGTAACTTGGTCTCAAAATATTCAGAAAGAATAGTTTTATTCTTTTCAGCATTTTCTCGACGTTCACAGAACCATTTCTGCATCCTGCCCCGAAGGAAATCAATCAACTTTGCTATAGGGTACTCCTGAGGGATACGATCTAGAGAATTCATTGACTCAGCATTGTTGGATGTCATCACAGAGTACCTAGTGCGCCTACTGTAACAACGGGTCCACTTCTCAAAACCAATAGCACTCAAATAAGGACGAATACCCGCGTCTTCAGAATCCAGTAAAGCTAAATACTCTTCAAGTTCAGCAGGAGAGGCAGCCCTGGCTGCCTGGTTAAACTTCCATGCCAACCCATCACAACCTTTAAACTTTGTTCTAATGTTCCCTAAAATGTGTTGAACACAATATCCATGTTCAGCGTGTGGAAAAACTACCCTTGCTGCATGAATAATCCCCTCATGACGATCTGAGACAATAAATAAGTCATCTCTATGAGCAAGAGTTTCCTTGAGCATCTTAAACAACCAAAGCCACGTGTCCTTTCGTTCAGTGTCACACACACCAAACGCCAACGGGAAAATCTGGTCATTAGCATCCTGGGCACATGCTGTTAATAAAGTCCCTTTATAATAAGACTTCATGAAGGAACCATCAATAATAAGGACTGGAACACAATGTTTCCAGCCTTCAAACCATGGATGTAATGACATGAAAAAATACTTAAAACGATCATGATCATCAATAATAAGTGATATCTTTGAGCCTGGATTTTTTTCTCTTAGAACATGTGAAATGAATGGCATAAGCTGGTAAGACTCCTCATCGGACCCCATTGATTTTATCTGAGCCTTTTTGTTCGCATTCCATGCTTTTTTGTAAGGAAGCATCACACCATAGTCTCTATTCATGTCCACAATAATGTCAATAGGAGCATACGGTTTTCGAGATGCATCTGCATATCTGTGTTTAATAAGTTCTGCAATAACATCAGCTGTCGCTTGACGATGCCGACCTTGCCTAAAATCAATAGAACATGTATGATCAGAATCGAACCTGCAAAACATGAACTAATATTAAGCAGACATTAAGTAGATAATAAATAGTCCATAAAGAAAAAATTCAAACACAGAAAGCAAACCTTTTAATTTGGAACATGTTACTTCCAGACAATCTCACTCCACGAACAGCCCACTTGCAGTTCTCCACATCAACACAAATAACATGCAATACTTTCTTGGTTGATGTTTTGGTCATATATTGAAAGTGGTTTGAAATGGCATAAACCTTTAAATGGAAACTTAAAGCCTGTTTAGTTTGGTATACGGCATCTATGGCTATATGAGTTGGATGGAACTGAGAAACAACTTCAAAATTAGGAACCACAAAAAGTGAATCCAAATGACCATTTGAATTCAAACTAACAGCTTGACTTGATGAAGTGTCACTAGAACTCCTAGAAACTATTAAATCATGTTCCAAAGGATCAAAAGGACAAGCTGAAACTGAGACTCCAATAGAAGATGAATGTGTATCTTCAGAAGTCATGGACTGATTAAAACCAGCAGACACATTAAGATCAAGTGAAGCAGTGGCAGCTACATTGAGATCAATTGGAAGAACATTGGCAGACATATCTTGTTGTAACACATTAATCGCTGGTGACTTGGAAGAAACATTGACAGCAAATGCAGAATGCTCAAATGACATTGGTTCATTAACACAAGAATCACCAGTAAACAATTCAACACACAAAGGAAACTTAGCATACTCAGTGTCAATTTTTTTTAAAGCCAAGTAAAATCCTAAGCTAGAATCGTCATTAACAAGCACAGGAGGTGGACATGCATCTACAAGGTATGAAATCCTAAGCCTTGTATTGGTAACAGATTCACCAATGCATGAATAAACCATAGAAGTAAAGTCAATATATAATGTCCCCTCAGGTACGATTAGGCCAAAGGATCGTTTGTTAGAGAAAAGGTATGAGTTGTCCCAACTACCATCCACCTTAAGCATAAGCAACATGTTTACCATCACTGTAAATACACAAAAGAGAAACACAATATGATATTAACAACATCATTAAAAATGGCTAATACACTAATAATAATAAGTGTGATATTAACAACTGCAAATAACAAACAAAATACCTCCAATATATAGCGTATGAACTACTAAAAACATAAACAAATTGTATATTATATGAAGTAGTTAAAAAAAACACATGTGAAACAAAAAACGATATAACAGAACAAATACATACATTACATAGTGTATCAACTAAGAAGGCATGATCTTATATATGTAGAATCCATAGTCGTTTAAACAAATAGCATATCCAGACTAATTGAACAAAGAAAACAGGAAAATACAAAAGCCTCGCCTCAAATAAAAAAAAAGTTTACGATGGAAAAACAGAGAGAAGATCTTCATATTGAAACTGTACAAATTTCATCGATGAGGACCATAGTATAAACAATTTTCGTTTATAATCAATATTGGAATGAAACTGTACAAATTTCATCGATAACAACTTACCAGATTTTTGAAGATGAATGCTAGAAGAGGAATTCAATGAAACTGGAATTCGCCTGCGATTTGCACAACTTATGCGGTAGTTTGAAGTCCAATTAAACTTCAAGGGGTGACGAACGTCAAGGAAAACGAAAGCAAGAGACCGGCAGCACAATTTGGAAGAGTGAAAGCGCCATGAATGTTGAGCGGAAGAAGGAAAGCAGGTGAATGGAATGTTCAGGTCGTTATTCTTAGGCGGCGGAAGTTATTTTGATTGAGTAATTAGCTGAAGGGGGTAAATTTGGAAACTAATAATTGAGTTTCTTAAAATAGGAGTACATGTATCCCACGGAAGGAACGAACCTTAGGCGGTACTAATTTTGTAAAAGCTCTATGATTTAGTAGTACCGGCGGCAATTTTTCCTACTTAAAACCAAATTTTCCAAAATTAATTCCAATTTCCATTTTTTTTTTGAAAATAATTCCAATTTCCATTTAAAAAGTGTTTTTTTCAGCTTTTAAAACCGTAATTTCCCTCCTCCTCCCAGGCCTACTTTTCCTTCCCACTTTATGCAGTACTCCGTATAATCTTTTTTTTCCTTGCTCTCTTTTATACGGAGTACTATATTAAGTTTTACCAATAAACTCAACTTGGATTTAATTAAACTTCATTTAAACTTAGGTGACAACCCCGGTACCCTTTTAAAAATTGGGGTATCGTACCTACCATGCATTTAATTGGTCCAAATCATTCTATTCTTTTTAATTTAGATTTAATTAATTCAACTGCATTATTTCTATTGGTCCATGTGGACAAAAGTATGGTACCTTAAGGGTACCATTGAATCTACCAATAAGCCCACTCTATTTACATTTGCACTTAAATTCATTTACACCATACATTTGAGTATTTGACCATGTTCATCTTCTCTTGAATAATTGTACTGAATTCTCGTATACTTGGTATATACTCCGTATAATATACCACGTATATGTCTCACATGCATTGATTAAACATCTTCGATGCCCATTAAATCATGCCCCATTTTATCTATTAAATATTTTCATTAAAAAAAAGGTAAGAATATAATTGTGCTTAGATCATTATTTTATTAAATATTTTCATGGTAAATATATATAATGCATTTATTTTATCTTCATGAAACATCCACTGAACAGAGTCAGATCAGAGTAGGATCCACTAACTCAGAATGTGCTTAGTACAATTGTAAGTTTAAAGGTAAGAATCATGTGGGTAGGAGTATATATTATGGCCTACAATGGGACTGGTTTGATTGGCCACAAATGTGGACCATTCCACCCTTTCCCTGATAGATCATTATCCATATCAGAACTCAGAACTGGTTACGTTCTTCCAACGTCAATCCACTGTGATTCATTTTAAATGAATTCCAATATTTTTTTTTTCATTTTTATCATTTTGAAATTAATAAGTTGAAAGGGAAAATGCATGAACATATGGGCACATATAGTCATGGACCCGGGCCGGGCCTAGGCCCGGTCGGGCCTCGGGTTTTTTGAAGGAGGCTCGGGACCGGCCCGTGCTATGGCCGGTGCTGGTTCGGGCCGGGTCACCCGCCCGGGTCATGGGTCGGGCCACCCGCCGGGCCGGGCCGGGCCATGTTTAATTTTTTAAATTTATACTACCTCCGTCCCAGGGAGAAGTTCCCAATTTCCTTTTTTGGCAGTCCCAACAAAAAGTTCCCATTTCCTTAAATGAAAAGTTATCCTACATAAAAACAGTGCGAAACAGTGCCAAACAGTGTCGAAACAGTGCCAAACAGTGTCGAAACAGTGACAAACAGTAAAATTTACCCCTCAGTAACTTTATTTCCTTAATATGTATGAAAGTCAACCCGAGAACTTCTCCCTGGGACGGAGGGAGTAGTTTATACAACTTCTTATTAAAAACAAAGTTCAAGTGCATTTACTTGAAATAGGAACTACATTTGAGAATTGAGAAAAAAATTATAATATGAAATACATTTTCTAATAAATATCAATCGGAATTTCCGCCACTGTTGGTTGTTGTTTTGCCTTTGTCACAGGGCTTCATATGTTTTCTTGGCATCCCGTATCCGTGTGAACACCCCGATCTACACTCTTTCTTGCACCACCTGCAAGTTGCCCACCACAGCCCGGTCTTCGGGTCCTTCCACATATCAAATTTGTTTTGCATAAGGGAAGATTTACTTTCCATCTTTAAAATGATAGATGTATAAGTAGAAATGTAGGATAATAAGAGAAGATGAAGATGGAGAAGAGTTGGAGAAGAGGTGGAGAAAAATGTTAGAAAATAGATGTATTTATATAAATTTTTAGAACTCCACACCGCCACCCCCCGGGACCCCCCCTGCCCCCCACCAAAGCCCCAACGGCTATATAGCCGTTTGGGAGCTTTTTTGTTTTTAAATTTTTTTAAATATTTTTTATTTGAAAATTATAGATATTGTAAAATAAGTTAATTATTTTAATGAATTAAGTAAAGCTATTTTTACTTAGAAAAGTGGTTTGATTTATAATTTACAAATGTTAAAAAATAGGTGTATTTACAAATTACATATTGTAAAGCTATTTTTAATTTAAAAACAGCCTTTAGAAAATTAGTTGTAAGTTGTATGTTTGTAACCAATTAATTAATTTGAGAAGTGCTACATATGAAAAAATGAACGCATATTTATTTGAAATATGAAGTACAAGTTTACAAATTACAATTGAGAATTGAGGGAAAGATTAAAACATGAAATACATTTTATAATAAATTCTAAAATACTAATCAATCGGAATCTCCGGCATAGGTAGAGCCACCATCGGTTGTTGAGTCATCCATAAAGTATTGAGAGGGGATGATGCTCATTTCTTGAGTTCTACGTGCGGCCTTCAACCAATCGTGGTAGCATATAAGCGTCTCAAGAGAGTTTGCGCTCAATCTCGTTCTAGATGCCGTTAGGACGTTGCCGGCCGAACTAAATTCTTGTTCCATGGCAACTTTTGAAACCGGCATTGATAGAACTTGCTTAGCCATCCGTGCTAAAATCGGGAACATTCTTTCTTTTGACTTCCACCACTTTAGAACGTCAAAGCCATCATTTTCTTCAAATTCAACTTCATATGTTAAATACAAAGTAATCTCATTTATTGTGTTTTGTTCAGTAGGGTGAGTTGTTTTAGTTTTTTCATAAGATTGCCAAATGCATATTTAAAAATTGATTTTCCTTTAGATGAAGATGTTCGTGTCGAGGGAGGGGACGCGTTGCCATATTGTGCATGAAACTCATTAAATAAGGCATAAAATAAAGTACTAACCTCGTTGTATTCCGTTTTCGGATCTATGTGGTTATCGTCATACATTGGAAATTCACCAAAAAAGCAAGATAATAAAAGTTGAAACAATCTTCCAAATTAGCTAGTCTAAAACGAGGATCGAGAATAAATGCAATGCCATAAATATGCGGAATATGTGCATAATATTTTAAAAACTTTTCCTTCCTAAAATCACAAAAATAACTCACGTAAACGGCATTCTCAAATTCTTTAAAAGCACCGGCGAGATTAACAACTTTACGAATAAATTGGTTTGCGGTAGCATAACTAAAAGTTCCAGTTGCATTAAAAAATATATTAAAACATTACAAATTTTTTCGCAAGTGTCGATCTCAGCCGAGTTTATAATATAGTTATCATGTTGTTTTGAAAAAGAAGGAAAATGTTCTTTATATCTAAGAACAACTTTAAGTAATTTATAAGTACTATTCCAACGAATACTCAAATCTTTAGGAAAAGCAACATATCTCACGCCTCTTTCAGTCAAATAAGTTTGCCATTTTAATCTAAGTTGACCATTACCCCAAATACGTCTACCCCCCCCCCCCCCCCCGACTACCTCCATAGCATCTCCTAACGCTTTTAGACCGTCTTGCACACATAAATTTATAACATTGGCATACAAATTATAGAATGAGAGCTAAAGCATAAAACGTTGTGATGAACGGCTTTTGGGACCAAGAGGATGATGTTCTGACCATAATTTGAGTATAACTTATTGTAGAGAACTCGTAATCACTCGATTCAAATTTCATGTGAATGTTAACACAATAAGGTACAAATGTTATCAAGACGTCATGACCAAAATATGAAAGAAACGAGATTCAATTAACCAATAAAGTCAGATGTTTCTTGTGGGATTTCAGGATGCATACCTCTCAGTGTTTTATCCATATCTTTTGATTGGATGAATAAAATCACGTCATTCAAGTTTTGGTGGATACAATGCTTCATTATCTACAACTTTGGTGAAAGAATCATGTCCAAATTCGTAGCGGAACATCCCCAAAATCCCAGGACA